ATAACCATCCATTCTTTTCACTGGAATGTATTTTATTGTTCCAAGAATGTCTTTATATACAGGCACCATTTTCACTTCATTTTTGTATCTTAGTGGCATGAAAATATAGTATGCAATTTGCAAAGGCTCAAACACTCGACAGTTTCACTCTCTGCAGTATTTCCAAAATAAAAGAAAGAGGTCACACATAAAGGTTTTTTGACCGATATAATTATAATATTTTATTAAGCTTAGAATACTACCTCCCTACTTGGTTAAACAGCACTAGAGGCCCTTTATTAATGCTATATCTGCAGCAGTCAGCAGGATTAGGGCATCAGTATTTCAAGTTAAATGGTTACTCTTATGACCATGACCACTTCAGTGATTTGAAGTGGTCACGGTGCCTGGATTCTGTATGTGCACTATGTAATGTTCCACATTCAGATGTCAAGACCTCTGCAACCATTAGCCAGCCTGGAACAAGAGTGTTAATTCTGTGCAAATTGGATGTCTGACGTCCGTACACACAGAATGCTGGCCACAGATGTCCAATAACAACATGGCCTACCTCTGTGCTGTCTATGTTCTCCTCTCATCCCATCCTTCCCCTACAACAGAGGTTCCCAAACCAGTCCTCAAGTAACCCCTAACAGTCCAGGATATAGAGATTAGCCTGTTGTGTCTAAAGTGTTTTTTTTTCTACTTTCTAAAAACACATTAGACACAACTGGTTAATTCCTAATTCTTGGACTGTTGGGGGGTACATGTGGACTGGGTTGGGGACCACTGCCCTACAACAAAGAGGGAGTGACAGCAGGAGAGGAGGATTGGGCTGTAGGGAGAAGTTGGCTTCATTAGAATGGTGGCAAAATTATACTTTTCTTTTTTAAGTTTTATGGCGGGAAAGAGGGATGGACCAGCAAAGCAAGGGCTACTCTGCTCTAACCAAAACAGTGTTTTATGAAAACACAGCTTTTTGGTTTGAGTAACTCTAATAGTAGAAAAGTGGTACCTTTGCTTTAACCTAGAATTGCTTGTTTTGCATTTATATGTACAAGCTTTACAAGATTTCTCTCTGTGAGAGCTCTCATTGTAATCAATAAATCAATATATTTTTAGAAATCAGTCCCTGTGTTGTTTTACACAAATGGCCATTTCCTGGGCTTTTACGCAATAAAACATTTATTAAGTAAGATTATGTGTAAAATAAGATTCATTTTTTTTTCTGAATGAACTAAGAACACTATTTTGTCCAACCCTGATTGTTTTATTTATAATGTATTTCTTGTTTGGCGTTTAATTGGGGCAGCACAATTTGTACTATTTATATTGTATTGTACAAAAATATATATTCTTTTCTGGTAGTTCAAATTTTTATTTTCTTATAGTCTTGTAAGAATGAATTAAACTTAATAAAGTAGTATGACATACACCTGGCTATAGTTTTCATTTCAGCTAAACATTCAAACAACTGTGATCTGTGTGTTCATGTAAATGTACTTTTTTCCAAAATGTCATATGATTCACATGGCCCCCTATATCACAAATTGCATTTGCATCATATAGTTACTAAATATTGGAAATTGCCTGTTTTTTTCTTCCGATGATAATTTAGCATTTTAATTTAATCTGAATAACTGAATAATAAAGCAGATGACATAACCAGCCAGGTCAAACAGTTCTCACCTCTTCTCTGTAGAGAGGGGAGTTAGAAACTAACTGATTTTTTTTTTAATTAAAGTGCACCTGTCATTGTACACATTACTTTGGTTTAAATTATAGAGCATTACATTACAGCTACATTGTGCTATCAGAAATTCTTTAAAGTGTCTAGATTTTAACTTAATACCCTTTCAAATATTTGTGTTTTGCCTACCTGCCAGTCAGTCTTTGGCGTACAGGTCTCTTGCCAGCAGTTCATTGCTGTACTGAGGGAGAGTTAGATTACAGACAACAAGCAACAACCTCATGGTCCTTTGTCCACTATTTTATACAGCTATGACCATAATGACGTCAGTCCTTTTAAATTTAACTCATGTAAGGACACGACCATCAATTACCACATTCCAGACTTATTGATACCATCTGTTACTTATGTCAATCCAGACATCCGTAACTAATTAATAGGAAAAAATAATATATAATATTCTACATGTCCCTAAAGCTTGTTTTGAATAAACTAATTATTAACATTTTGGAAATTGTAAGTTCATGTTTTCATTGGCGCTTAACTTCTCATTCTCTCAGCAGCCTTTTTGTGTAGAACAAAATCTTCCACTAGCAGGCTGAAAAACTAATTCCAAGATTCATTTTATAAATAACTGGATTAAGGGTTTGAAAACCCAAAATACAAGTATTAACCCTTTGTCACGTCAGATGGGTCAAATGTAATTCAACATTTCATATCCCATCCCAGTTTTTTTGTTAAAACAGCAGAAACCCCCCCCCAAAAAATTACAAAATACAGGATTAATGGGGTTGACCAGAAAGAGACACTTCTGATTAGTGTTGCTTCTTTTGGACCACGTGGCTTGCCACATGCCTGCGAAAGCACTACATTTTTAGAAGTTTCGAGGGTAAGTTTTATTCAAAATTTATTTTTTGTTTTTTTCTGTTTTGTTTTTGCATTTTTAATGCCTTATCTATACAAAACTGCGGATTTCTTCATTAAAGTGTAGGGAGACATCTAGTGAACACTACTGGTAGGTTTATACCACCGAATTTGTACCAGATGTACCAATTATAATATGCAAGTATATCTGTCATTAGGCTGACACATTAGAAAATACTGTGACTATGTTTAATGCATAATATCTCACAATTACACATTTTCATATGGAAACTATGAATACAATCATATTTATTACATCTATATATTTTAATACATTAAATAATTCTGGATATGTTTTATTTACTCTTTTATTCTTACTCTTTTATTCCTTATTTCCTTTTTACTCTTGTATTTCCTTTCTAGTATTATGTAAATCCTGTTAGTTATCCTTCCAGTCCAACTCAGTGAGATATGTTCCTGTAAAAAGCAAGGGGTGTCTCTTCCACTGGGCGATCGCGATCATGCAGTCCCGGCCTCCATTCTTCCCCTTTAGGAGAATCCAGTTAGCTCTACATTGGTAATTTAATTTTATAAAGGAATGTAACCCATTGTATTCAAATGTTTTTTTTGTGTGTGTATATATATATATATATATATATATATATATGGCTTGACCTGTAATTGTGGGAGGTACATTATTCCCTATTTAAAGATCAGTAAGGTCAGCTTACCTGTCGTCGATGTTCCTGCAAGTGCTTCTGATACTTCCGGTTCACAGGTTCCCGATAGCATTTCCCGCCTGCCGGCAGTCCACTTCAAAAATTTCTCTGCTCGGAGTTCGTGAGTAGCTAATCAGGTCATCAGTCGAACGGCTATCAACTTAGTACGCGATCGGTCTGACTCACTCGTTCATCTAACTTGGCATGCGTGTCATATACCTTCATACGAGTCGGCTTAACTTGCTTTTCTCATTAAGCGGTCAGCTCCAGCTTGCTGTTTTCCCGCTGGTCACTACAGCCTAACGTTGGCCCGTTATAACAGCTTACCTTTTCCCATAAAATTTATGGACAAAGTTACTCATTATGGTGAGTCAGGCAGTTCCGATCACACTGGGTCAGGTGTCAGTGCGCATATAATTAGTGTGTATTTACCATTTCTTATACATACGGCCGGTTATGAATTCTCTAAAACATCCTTTCGTTATTGCTAGCTTTTACTTTCATGTAATATTTGGCAAACTTTCTTTATGTGCAAGTTTTACTATGTATACAGTAGTAGCAAAGTTCATTGTATCAGGATTGTAATATTATATATGGGATAAAATTGTTCTCAAATAAATAAGATGCTGTATATAATACACGGACACATGCTATCCATACTCTTCCGTTTCATCACACATGAAGTTACTATTTGGGCAATCAGGCATTTCGGTTAAAACGTTAATCTACTCATAATAATATCAAGTGTCCATTCGCATTAATTTCCTTTAGTTTAAGCTTTCGTTTACATACAATAACCGAGCACGAAATCCGTTAGGAAACTCCGTTCGCGCAAACTTTCGTTTCATGTTGTACATACTGCCATTATTGCAATGCCTACATCTCACTCAAATATTGCAGTAGAAACTCTGTTTAAATTAAGATTAAGTTTCAGTCATTTTTATTCATACTACGTCTGTTACATTAATTTAAGCTTATGTCGGTTTATATGCCGGGTAGCCAGGGTGGTTGACCTAGGTCGCCACCTTGTGGTTTACAAGGTTGGTCGGTAAAATTCTTTTAAAAGTCTTCACTAAAGGATGTTTCTCATAGCTTATAGAGTACTTTCTGTGCTTGTTAAATATATTATACAAATTATTAATATACTCAGCCCGGTCTTGTGCATAGCTCATTTATAACTACACTGTTCAATATTATTTAGATGACTTTATATTCATTTATATGTTGTTTCTCCCCTCTGTTAAAAGAATACTAATTCTGACACTGCACACAAACGGGCCTTATCGATTAAACGCTACTACAGCATTATAAGAGTTCTGGTTATCACCCTGCCAAATCTTCTTAAATCATTTTCTACGTATACGGTTCGTATCTACCCTTTTAATTGGCGGGGCTATTTTCTACGGTTTCTCTCAGGGGCTAGATTGTAACTTACATTTATGACATGTTTTAGGTTCAAGTAAGGATTATTCTTTCCACTTCAGTATACGTTATACAAGTCAATCATCAGGTACGTTAACCATTCAAACCATGGCAGGGTTACGAGTAGGTTAAGCTCCCGCCAAGTAAGGTATGGTCCCATAGGCCTCTTCACCTAGCAGTCAAGGGGTCCAGCAAGGCATACTATCAACCCTTCTGTTCAGAGGCTCATGCCCAATCATCCCAATACATAGTTAGAGCCTTGCATCAAGTCATACTCAGGGCCTCACTCGTCACGGCCATACAATATTACATTCTTTTACGTGTCACTGAGAGGCCAACACCCCGCCATCCACCTCAGTGGCACAAAGGCCCCATGAGCCAAATCATAGCTAGTGCCTCTCATAGCCACTTGGCAACTAGTCAGGGCCTCACCTGTCACAAACATGAGCTAGTTAATACAATTTCGCCAGTAGGCACTAGCTTAGTAAGTTGGGTCACTACTGTTCTATACGGTACCATACTAACATTGTCCATCTGCCTCACTTCCGTAGCATGTCTAACGCTTCTAAACAAGAAGATGATCTGTCGGTTGCCAGCACCCCTCTCAGATCAGGCTCAGAGAGATGACCCAATTCACCAAGTCCAGCTTCCAGCTATTGTTCCTGGACAATCCCTAAAATCCCCTCAGAACTTAAAAAGAGGAATATTCCTTTCCCGGCTACAGCCAGGAAAGCTGAACTGTTTAGGTTATTAAATGTTACTGAAGATAACGAAAGGCCGGGCCCTAGTTCTGAATTCAATGTGCAAAATAGCCTTGCAGAATTACACGTCATGATGGCGTTCCTAGTTTCTTCAGTAGCAACTATTAATAATAGATCGGATAATCTGGAGTCAAACAATATCCCAACCATTCCAGAGATTCCAGTGCCAGTTGCTCAGCCCGCACCTAACTCAGAAGGTAAAGATAACCCTCTACCAGCTAATAGAGCTACCAATATCATAAATCCTATTCACCTCATTCCTCAGTCTCTAAGAAGTGGCATCATAGAGGGGAAGGACATAAACTTGGCCTCACTACTGATAGCATCTCAAGACGTGGTAGCGAACAGGGCATATACCTTTGAGGATCTGTCAGTAGTGATGAAGACTAGAGATCCCAGACTAAATAGGAAACTTAACATCCCCGAATTTGTCCTTGCATTCGGTTTGTACAGAGACATGATCTGTACAGCTTTCCACTCCATAGAGAGGAACTCGACTTATACCTTCATAAAGTGGTTGAGTTAGCATACAAGTACGGGGGCTATGCATTTTATGATTATCATAAGTCATTCGCTTCCAGATCCGCAGCATTGCTCTCCCAGTACAATACAATTACTGATTGGGCACAGCTAAACACAGAATTATTTCTTATGCATTTTGCAGGCCTTAAAACCCCTTCCTGTGCTACATGCTCTTCTGCTGCTCATTCAGTTAATTTCTGTGCTGAAAATGTAGCTACCCCGTGTACCAGTAGCGCCAATACTGGTTACCAATCCAACATGACCCAGAGGGAAGTGAGAGACTGGGCAGGTCAATTGTTTTTCTAGGAAAAGCACAAGTTTCAATGCTGGGGGTTGCAGTTATAGTGCTTGTAGGCTTCTGCACGTGTGCTCACTGTGTTTCAGAGCACG